GCAGATTGGTTGGCCAGTCGTCCTGTGGATACTTATGGTTAATTTGAAGGCTTGTTTTGGGTTCTGGGAGGTGATGCTTTGGGTTATGCTTCTCCTTTTTATTTTCTTTGGTTGTTTGTTTGAGTCTTATGGGCTTTGTTTATTTTGGTTCATTGTGGCTCGGTTGGGGTGTTTCCTTTGGCCTTGGGAATTCTTGGTGTAAGTTGCGGTCTTTTTGTTTTTGGTCTTTGTAAAACCTTTCCTGCGCTTTATAAATTTGCCGATATTTTCCTTCAAAAAAAAAAAGGTCTGATCAAACTAGATATGACCAATTAGTGTTATTTTGAGTCAATTATTAGACTCCTCGTGGAGAAATGGGCAGACTAAACCCTCATGGTGTAAACATATTAATGATGATCCATTTAGTGTCAACATCACCCAATGGCTTGATAATAAAGGTGCTCGGGGTGATTTTCAGGTAAAAGTGGCTTGGAAGACTATACAAGAGGTGAATCCGGTTGTACATTGGTATAAACTAGTTTGGAACAAAGCTTTCATTCCAAAACATGCTCTTTGTATATGGATGGCTTGCCAGAAGAAATTGCCAACCCAAGATCGTATCAGTCAGTGGAAGTATGAACCACCGGATTTAAAGTGTGTGTTCTGTAAATTAGTGATTGAAACGCACAATCACTTATTTTTTGAATGCACTTATTCTAGCAGTATTTGGGAAGGCATTAAAATGGAGGTGGGATTAACGACCTATCCGAACAATTGGGAGGATATTCTTCACAGAGGATCCACTCAAACTTGGAAATCTTGGTCTACGGTTCAAAAACTTGGTTTATCGGCAACGGTTTATAATATCTGGAGGGAACGAAACAGGAAGTTCTTCGACAATTACAATCATTCGGAGGATAAAGTTATTGCGGTGATCAAGATGCAGATTCTTCATCGAATGGCTTGGAAGACAAGGAAGAAGCTTTTGAATTCCAATGATATGTGACTTCGTGGGTGGTGCTCCTTCTCGGTTTTGGATCTTTTGGGTCTTTCTTGCYTTTTGTATTTTGGCGGGTGGTGTTGTTTTGTTTTGGTGTATTTGCCTTTGTCATTTTTGGCTTCTTATGACTTGGTTTGTGAGTCAAAGTTGTCGTAGTTTCTCTTGCTGATTGCTTTTGTATTGGTGACGCTTTTATTGTCTTTATAAAATTGCCTGGGGAATCCCTTTCCCCTTTCAGTAGACTCCTTTTGGAGAAGGGGCCAATTAATCCCATTAGGGTCTAATGAGACAAAGTATGAACTAGTTAGTGTCATTTTCACCCAATTGGACTTATAATGGAGGAATAGGCTGTTTATATCTACTAAAAACAAATGGACCCGTTATATCTACCCCCTCATGATGGTTTTGGAGGCTCCTCTCGTCGTAACTTGGATATGGCTGGTTTTTTTGCGTTTGTAGAGGATGTGGAATTATTTGACTTACATTATACGGGTGTCCATTTCACGTGGAACCAAAAACCGAACTCTTCGGGGGGTATCATGCGGAAATTGGATAGAGCTATGGGCAATGATGAGTTCACGTCTGGTTTTCAAGATGTTAGTGTTCATTTTCATCCTTCGGGTCTTTCGGATCATACCCCAGTGACGGTTTCTTTCAGATGTGGCATTCGGAAAAAAAGGCATGGTTTTAAATTTGACAATTTCTTGACTGAACATCCAGGTTTTCTTCAAGTTGTAAAGGATGAATGGGCAAAGATTGTTGAGGGTTCCTTTATGTTTCAAGTGACTTCTCATTTGAAGGCGCTGAAGATCCCTCTTCGGAAACTTCGTCATTCTTATGGCAACCTTGGTCAGCGTGTTGCCTTTTTGAAGACTGAACTTGATCGTATCCAATTGGATGTTGATAAAGATCCTTCTAATGTTGAGCTAGGCCTAGAGTTGGGACATATTCGTATTGCGTATCAAAATGCATGTAGGGATGAGAATAGTGCCGCGAAACAACGAGCCAAAATTGCATGGTTGAATTCAGGTGACTTGAATACTAAATTCTTCCATAAAGTGATTAGAGAACGACATCATTACAATTCTATTCAGTCTGTGTGTACGAGTGATGGAGCTTATGTCTATGGTGATGATGTGCCTAATGTTTTTGTGGAACATTTTAAAGACTTCCTGGGTACGAGGTATGTTTCTTCTGATCCGACTATGAGTAATGATATTTTCATGCGCAAACTTTCTTTGGTGGAAGCTAACCATATGATCAGACCAATTCAAAATGAAGAAATTAAAAATGCTATGTTTAGCATTGGTAATTATAAAGCTCCTGGGTCTGATGGGTATTCTTCTAAGTTTTTTAAAGAGGCTTGGGACATTGTTGGCCGTGATGTGGAGACTGCAATTCACAATTTCTTTTATCGAGGTAATCTTCCTAAGWGCTTGAATCATACGCTTTTATGTCTGATCCCTAAATCTATTAATGCTTCTAAGGTTACAGATTATCGGCCTATTGCATGCTGTACTGTGCTTTATAAATGCATTAGCAAGGTCATTGTKAATAGAATGAAGGGATCTTTGGATTTTTTAATTGATAAAGCTCAATCGGCTTTTATTCCGGGAAGAAGGATCACAGATAATATCCTTATGGAGCATGAACTTGTGTCTGGTTATCAATCCACTACGGGCCCGCCTCGTTGTGCGTTTGAAATTGATATAAGAAAAGCTTATGACACGGTGGATTGGAGGTTCCTTATTGTTATGCTTGATGGTTTGGGGTTTCACCATGTTATGGTTAAGTGGATAAAAGAGATGGTTTCGACTCCTTATTCCTTAGCCATCAATGGTAATTCCCATGGTTTTTTTCTTGGAGGGAGGGATCTTCGTCAGGGTGACCCGTTGTCCCCCTATCTGTTTACGATTGTTGTGGAGGGATTTTCTCTGCTCCTTCAAAAGTGTATTCGGGAGGCTGCTGACTTTGGTTATCATCGGGGTTGTGAGGACTTGGATTTGACTCATTTATGCTTTGCGGATGATTTGTTTGCCTTTACCAAAGGGGATGTTCTTTCTGTTGAAGTGCTTAAAAAAGCTCTGGCTCTTTTTCAGAATTATTCGGGATTAGCGCCTAGTCTTGAAAAAAGTGACGTTTATTTTGGTAATGTTCCTCCCAACATGAAGGAGGCTATCCTAGAATGTCTACCCTTTAAGCTAGGTATCTTTCCTGTTTGATATTTGGGTGTTCCTTTATCGCAATCTCGGTTGAAGACTTGTGACTATGCTCCGCTGATTGCTACAGTGAAGGGCCGTATTCTTAATTGGAAATCTAAGTTTCTTTCGTTTGGTAGACGGCGTCAGCTTATTATATCGGTCCTCCAATCTCTTCAGCTTCATTGGATGTCGGTTTTCTTATTCCCKTCTGGTATCATTCATGATCTTGAATCTATATTTCGGAAATTTCTTTGGGCTCCAAGGGAAGATCCTCGTGGTAGATGTCGGTTATCATGGGATGTGGTTTGTAGACCGTTGGAATATGGGGGTCTTGGAATTAAAAGACTTTCCACTTGGAATCGGGCTTTACTTGCAAAACATGTGTGGGATATTGCTAGGTAACGTGATTCTATGTGGGTTCGTTGGATTTATAGTAATAATCTCCGTTCTTCGAATTTCTGGATGGTCCGTAAGAATTCTAATTGATCTTGGGTTTTTTGTAAACTTTTAGACTTGCAAAGTCATTTACGTCGGTTCCTCTTTTCTCAAATTGGTGATGGTCGGGACACGAATGCTTGGGAGGATGCTTGGTTACCTTGTGGTCCTCTTTCCGCTTTTATCTCTTATAGGTTTATTCATTCTTGTGCTGGAATGGTAATTGGCCTGATGATTGGTGTCAACGGTTTCATATTCTTCATAATTCTCCATTACCTTTATTGACCTCTGATCGTGATAGAGTTTTATGGGGGGACAATTATACTAGGTGTTCGGAATTTACAGTGGGTAATGCTTGGGCTTCCTTAGAGGGTAATCATCCTGTGATCCCTTGGTCTAAATTGGTTTGGTTCTCGGGTCATATTCCGAAACATGCATTCTGTTTATGGCTGGCTTGTCAGAGACGGCTTCCGACTCAAGACCGGTTACATTGGAAGGATGAACCCCCAGATTTGAAGTGTTCGCTTTGTGGTCAATGTTTGGATAGTCATGATCATTTATTCTTTCAATGTCCGTATGCTGGAGTTGTCTGTAATAGTGTTTTATTTATGGTGGATCTAACGGGTATGCCTTCAAGGGGGGAGCAGATTGTACAACTTATTTCGGATTCTAATAGTCATCCGAAATTGATAAAGCAGAAGATTGCTGTGGCTGCTACGGTTTAGTATATTTGGCAGGAGCGTAATCGAAGACTTTTTTTTGCAACTAAACGTACGGCTCAGGATCTTATTGCCGTTATTAGGGAGGCTATCTTCATTCGTACAGATTGGTTGGCAAGTCGTCCTGTGGTTACTTATGGTTGACGTGATGACTTGGTTTTGGTTCTGGGGGGCTTTGGTGTGGGTTAAACTTCTCTTTTTTATCTTCTGTTGTTTGTTTGTTTCTTATGGGCTTTGTTTATTTTGGCTTGTTGTGGCCTGGTTGGGGTGTTTCCCTCGGTCTTGGGGCTCGTGGTTGTAGGTAGCAGTCTGTCTGTTTTTTTGGTTGCGTTGTAAACCTTTTTATTTGCGTTTTATAAATTTGCCGAAGCTTTCCTTCAAAAAATAAAAAAAAGACCCAATCTACCTCAAGTACTCCCATTAACTTCTGATTTGAATAACTATGACCCTTTTAGTACCATTATGACTCAATTAGACTCAAGTTGGAGAAACTACACTATTTATGACCCATTTAGTGTCATCTTGACCCAATTAGACTCCTTTGGGATAAATGGGTCAATTAATCCCATTAGGGTCTAATGAGAGAGATTATGTCCTACTTAGTGACATTTTGACCTAATTCGACTTTTTAAAGAGAAATAGGTTCATTATATCCACTAAGAGCAAATGGACGTGGATCCCTCTAAGGGGTTAAGGAAACCGGAACACACTTCCTGTCCCTTATGGGTGAAATTACATAATATTCCGTTGGTTGCTTTTAACAAGGAGGGTGTTAGTCGCATTGCAAGTGTTTTGGGAGTACCGAAACAGATGGATGCTTGTACTGCATCCATGTGTGAAAAAGCTTGGGGACGGCCGGGGTTTGCTAAGGTCTTAGTTGAGGTTTGGTCAGTGGGTGAGTTGAAAAGGTATATTGATGTTGAAATTCCGAATCTCAATGGTGGTGATGCCGAACTAGTGAAAATACAAGTTGAATACATTTGGGAACCGATCCAATGTTCACATTGTCAGGTTTTTGGTCATAAAATTTCTACTTGTGTTAAAGCTCCAAGTATGAAAAAAGGTAAGCAAGTTGATGGGAGGAAAGACGCTGATGGATTTATCAGAGAGGAGAAAAAGCATTGGGGACCGAAAATTGGGAATAAGGCCAAAGGTAAAGAACCTGAGATCGCCACAAATCTGGTTCGTCCGGTGGATGTGGGAGCAAGCACCTCAAATGTGGGTCAGTTGGAAATAAAAAATAATGGGACTAATGACGTTGCTCCATCAAGTGCGATTATGAAGAATACTTCAAAAGACACAGGTAATGTTGGTTCTGGGTCTTCTTCTTCTCATTCCATAAACTCTTCGTCCCATCCTCGATCTACTCCCACCCCTCTTATTGATTCTGTGGTCAAAAACTTTCGGATGCCAAGAAGGGGGGTTTTGTTAGACCCTGTGGTAGGCCCCAACAAATATGGAGTTCTGGAGCAGTTAGATGAAGAGGAAAATCTTGTTGATCACCAAGTAATTATGGATAAAGATCCTGTTGCGAACACTTTGAATATGAACAGGAGGGAGCAAGGGTTTGACCAGGCCTCTTCATCATGCTAAAATTTGCAACTTGGAATATCCRRGGACTCAATTCTCCGATAAAGCAAAATGAGGTMAAGACTTTTATTCATTGTAATGATCTTAGTTTGTGTGCAATTATTGAGTCTCATGTGTCTAAGGACTCTCTTGAAAGTGTGTGTGCCAAGCTTTTTGGTCGGTGGGCTTGGATCTCTAATCAAACTGTGAGTGTGTCGGGTACACGTATCATCCTTGCTTGGAATTCCCGTAGTTTAGATGTAATGGCTATGGAGGTTCAGAATCAATTCCTGAAGTGTAAAGTTTTTTTAAGAGGTGGTCAAGATGTTTTCTTTCTGTCTCTGGTCTATGGTGCTAATGCATGTACTCCTCGTAGAGAATTGTGGTCGGGGTTAAGGAAATTTAAAGTCTTGATTGGTTCCAATCCATGGATAGTAATGGGAGATTTCAACTCCATGTTGTTTCCGCATGATGGGTTTGGAGGGTCTTCTCGCCGTAATATTGATATGTCTGATTTTTTTGCGTGTGTGGAGGATGTAGAAATTTTTGATATGCAATATACTGGTGTTCATTTCTCTTGGAATCAAAAACCGAATTCTGAAGGGGGAATCATGCGAAAACTTGATAGGGCTATGGCTAATGCGGAATTCACTTCTAAATACCATGATGCAACTGTTCATTTCCATCCTGCCGGTCTTTCGGATCATTCACCGGTGGTTCTTTCTTTTAAAGGCGGTTTACGGAAAACGAGGTATGGGTTTAAATTTGATAATTTAATGGCTGAACACCCGGATTTCTTGAAGATTGTTAAGGCGGAATGGTCTAATTATGTTGAGGGGACTTTTATGTTTAAGGTCACTTCCCATTTAAAGGCTCTAAAGGTCCCGCTTCGTAGGCTTCAGAATATTTTTGGTAATCTTGGCAAGAGGGTTTCTTTTCTAAAAATTGAGTTAGACCGTGTTCAACTGGATTTTGATAACAATCCCTGTAATGCTGAGTTGGGGTTGGAACTTGGTCATCTTCGTATTGCTTACCAAAATGCTTGCTGGGATGCGGAGTGTGCTGCTAAGCAACGGGCAAAAGTTAAGTGGTTGAATGAGGGGGATTTGAATACAAAATTCTTCCATCATGTGATTAAAGAACGGCACCATTCCAACTCCATTCAATCGGTATGCACTAGTACTGGTGAATTTGTTCATGGTGATGATGTTCCTAATATTTTTGTTGAATATTTTCGTGATTTTCTTGGCCTTCGGTATGAGTCTCCTGACCCGATTATGCCCGAGAACTTATTCCCGAAAAAGCTTTCTCTCTCGGAGGCTAATCATATGATACGGCCGATTCTTTCTGAAGAAATAAAAAAATGCTATGTTTAGTATTGGTAATCATAAAGCTCCTGGATCGGATGGATTTACTTCGCGGTTTTTTAAAGCTTCTTGGGATGTTGTTGGGCGTGATGTGGAGATTGCAATTCACAATTTCTTTTATCGAGGTAACCTCCCAAAGGAATTAAATCATACGCTTCTTTGTCTTATTCCTAAAACTGTGAATGCTTCTAAGGTTACTGATTACCGTCCTATAGCTTGCTGCAATGTACTTTATAAATGCATTAGTAAAGTCATTGTAAATAGAATGAAGGATTCCTTGGATTCTCTGATAGATAAGGCCCAATCGGCCTTTATCCCGGGTAGGAAGATTTCGGATAATATTCTTATGGCTCATGAGCTTGTTTCTGGGTATCAGACTTCGGTAGGTCCCCCTCGATGTGCTTTCAAGATTGATATTAAAAAAGCCTATGATATGGTTGATTGGAGGTTTCTCATTGTAATGATGCATGGCTTAGGGTTTCACCCTGTTCTGATTAAATGGATTAGGGAAATGATGTCCACTACTTCCTACTCGCTTGCAATTAATGGTGAATCTTATGGTTTTTTTCATGGTGGAAGGGGTCTTCGGCAAGGTGATCCGTTATCACCATATTTATTTACGATTATTAAGGAGGGTTTTTCTATGCTCCTTAAGACTTGTATCAGGGAGGCTTCTGCTTTTGGATACCATCGTGGTTGTGAGGAGCTGGATATCACTCATCTTTGTTTTGCAGATGATTTATTTGTGTTTACTAAAGGTGATGTTCATTCGGTGGAGGTTCTTAAAAAAGCTCTCTCTCTCTTTCATCAGCGTTCAGGTTTGGAGCCAAGTCTTGAAAAGAGCGAAATTTATTTTGGCAATGTGCCCCTTCATATTAGGGAGGCCATTCTGGTTTGCCTCCCTTTTAAACTTGGCTCTTTTCCTGTTCGTTATCTGGGAGTGCCACTTTCTCATGCTCGTTTGAAAATTAGTTACTATAGACCTTTGCTTGCTAAGGTTAAAAGTCGTATTTTTAATTGGAAGACTAAGTTTCTCTTGTTCGGTGTACATAGGCAACTTATTATAGCGGTCTTACAATCGCTTCAATTGCATTGGCTGTCTGTTTTCCTTTTTCCGTCGGGTGTCATTATTGAATCGATCTTCCGGAAATTTTTTTGGGCTCCAAGGGATGATCCACGTGGGCGGTGTAGATTATCGTGGGATGTGGTGTGTCGTCCTCTGGAATTGGGGGGTCTTGGTATTAAACGGTTGGCGACTTGGAACAGGGCTTTACTTGCTAAACATGTTTGGGATATTGTTCGCCATCATAATTCTTTGTGGGTTCGGTGGATTTATAGTCATACTCTTAGAACCAACCACTTCTGGTTGGTTCGGAAAAGTTCTAATTGGTCATGGGTTTTCCGTAAACTTTTAGACATTAGGATTCATGTGCGACAGTATTTTGTGTCTCAAATTGGTGATGGTACGGATACTAATGCTTGGGAGGATTCTTGGCTTCCTTGTGGTCCTCTTTCGGCTTTTATGTCTTATCGGTTTATCTATTCTTGTGGGTTTTCTCCTGCTACTACGGTTCGTGAGCTTGTCATGAGATT